GCCATGTACAGCGGCGTCTGCCCCATCTAGAGAGATACATGAGGTGCGAGGATCGCTTCTTCATGGACGTACCGACGCGAGGACGTCGAGGTTTGCGCCGGCGCTCACGAGCGCGCGAAGCATGGCTGCATGTCCATGTGAGGCCGCATAATGCATCGCACTGCAGCCGAACTAGGACATTCGTCAGTTGATATGACCGGGGCGTCCGCAGAGTGTACTCTGTTGAGATCCGAGGCGTTGTTCTTAACGTCAAGCAACATTTCGCCGACGGCAACGTTGCCCGACATTGCTGCGTACATGAGCGGCGTCTCCTTGTCCTAGCACACAGATGTTTGCGTCGTTGTCTCGATTCCCTTGGGCCACTACCAGCGTCAGAATGTCCAAGGACGCACCGTTGTCGAGCAGCTGCTGGACAACGGCTTCATGACCTGATTTAGCAGCGACGGTCAGCGCCGAGCCTCCCCACTAGTATCAATTCAGGGTCATGTGCACGCTGTCGAAGCGCAAATACGCACCGAGAGGCGCTCGTTGACGGCCGCACCAGCTGCCACAAGCAGCTCCACAACGTCTCCGTGCCCTTTGCTGATCGCAAGGACCAGTGGCGTGGCCCCGCCCTACGAGTGGTTGAGATGCTTTGATATTCCCAGTATTGAAGTACCGGTGTCTTTGCGTCCACAGCCGCCTGTGCCTCGAGAAGCGTCTTGACAACCTTCGTGTGGCCATGCAGCGCAGCGACGGCCAACATCGGATGCTTCATCTATACAAGGGAATGAGTACCTACATGGAACCCGCCGATGGCGGTCCCAGCACCTCGTCAAGGGCGTTTGGGTCGGCGCCGTCGCGGAGCAGGTTGGCCACGACGGTCGCGTTGCCGCTCTCGACTGCTTCGATGAGGGTCCTTTGCGCCTAGAAAATGGACGCATGGGAGGTCTTCGCAGTGAAAGCAGCTTCGTACGCCCATGTATCAGCAGCTTGAATGAGCTAACGACAAGGGCAATTGCAAAGTGATCGCGGCAATGTCATGCCCCTTGCAATCCCGTGCAATTAAGTTTTGGAGTCTGGAAATGATATTTGAAGGGATTATGAATATGCACCATTTTTCAGAGACGCAGAAGTGACCAACACCATGTCGCAGAGCGGTATAAAATGTGTCGTCAAGAACGACCAGGGTCCACCAGCGTCTACCATGGAGCTCAATTGCGGAGCTTGTACACCACAATAGTGCTGATGCGCCTGAGCTGGGGCTGGTTCTTATCACAAGGATGCCGTGCTTGATGCGAAAAATAGTGGTACATTGTAGCATACACTGTACTTTGTTTGGGCGATATGTGCAGAAACCTGCCAGCTTCGGGCAAGGGTGTAGACGAAAAGTAGTACCAGTGCTGCATTCGCTCAAGATTCGTCACACCCAACGGTTTCTACTCTTCCCAGACGAGCGCTTGCAGCGGCGTCAGCGTCGTCTTGTCAAGGCCCGCACACTCGCCCTTGAAATCCAAGCAGCGTCGCTGCATTTGCACGTCGGCGTCGGCTGTGGCGAAGGCAGGCGTCCCGGCCGTCAGGTGCGCCAGATGGAGGACGTGACCGTTGTAGCAGCTAGCACGCTCGGCGCCCGAGCGCAAATACTCGACGGCGAGTTCCACACACGAGGCGAGGCGCACGCGGCACAGCGAATTTCTCTTAGGCCACAAGACAGACGGGAGGCGGTCGACGACCGCCTTGTCATGCCCCGTGAGCGAATCAAACGTCGGCGTCAAGCCACGCGTATCGGCGGGATCGTGACAGCAATGTCTTCAGAGCAATCGTAGCCGCGAGCGGCGTCCTGGAGCTCTTGGATCGACGGCAGCGGTGGCGGTGCAAACTTGGGCTTGGGCCCGTAGCTGTAGTCCGAGTCGTAGTCGTCCAGGATGTACGCTGCGTGATACACGCCAAAAGACCGGTGCCCGGACGTGATGGGCGCCACCGTCACGTGCTGTAGAACGAGAAAAAGCGTCCGTCGAGAGCCTCGTCGTCCGGTGGTCGTGTGAGATCGTGACGACGCCACCGACGCAGGTGGACGGGAAGAAGTAGACGGCCGTGGCACAGGTATGGCGTGGTGGTCGGTCTATTGGCTTCAACGCCGACGCGTCGCCGGTCAAGTCGTTCGCAAAATGCGCCAGTGTCATGCTGAACTCGAACTCCTCATCGTCGTCGTCTTGCTCCGGGTCGAGTTGCCTGAGGATGGAGGACTCAAACATGAACGCACGCCTGGGTATCGCGTGGAAGCCGCGGAAGACGACGTCCTTGGCCGGGACGCGGCCAGCGTACGTGGTCGACAGCGCCGTGAGGGTCTCCGTCGGTAGCGGCCACGAAGGCACGGCGATACCGCCGATCTTCGCGACGGGGTTGCTCTCGAATTTCGGCTTGTAGAGATGGCACATCGGCGCCGCAATATCATGCGTAGACGGGCCCATAAGGTTCCCGCTCTTGTCGTCACTCACTCAAAACTAGATGTGATTGACAAAACGATTCTCACTGTGTGACGTTGCACTATACCAGAGTGATGGTCGAGGAAGCCTCTGCGTCCACAAGACCATCACTCACACACGGGGACTGGCTCTCCAGTGCCAACCACGCATGACACATCATCGCGTCTATGCCTTGATGGCATAATTCAAATTGCATCCCATGAGCGACGACGGTCACGAGTACAGTCCGTACTCGATTGCGCGGGACGTCGCGTTGCCGCACTGTTGTCTGCGCAAGGCGGACGCCGAGAGCAGCGTCACCGCGGAACTTGGCGGTATCACCGTGGCGTCGTGGCCTCTCTCGACCGAGACCGTCGCAGCGCTCACGACCAAGTACTCTGGCCGCATACCGGCGCAAGATGTCACCATCAGTGGCCTCGGCATTGCCGAAAACGAGTATTTTTCCGAATCCGACATTCTCAGCAACTTTGATCCGTATCCCGACGGCGACGAGTTCGGCATGACGTTCAGCATGTCACTGGCGCATGTGGCGATCGACGCGACCGGCGACGCGTCGACGTTCAAGCCGGCAACGCAGCGACCGCCACGCTACACGTTTGCTACGGTTGTCTACTTCTTTCCGTCCAACTGCGTCGGCGGCGCCGTCACGATCTCGCATGGCCACCGGACGACGACGTACGAGGCACTTGACGGTCGCTTTCTGTCATTCTACAAGACGTGCGACGTGACTGTAGGTAGCGCCAATTACGTCGGGACATCGGTCGTTTGCTGTGTATCACGCCGTCTACGATCTTGCGGACTTTGACTATGCCGTAAAGCCGCGGTACGCACCCCCGCCACTGCCATCGCTCCAAGAACTCCAACTCGCCGCTCGCCGCTTTGAGCCCGATGGCCACAATAGTGTCATGATCCGGCTTGCGACGCGCAGTGCGACGCCGACGTTTGGTCCGCTCACGGGTCCTGACAAGGCAATTCTCGACCTGCTACTTGCAGCCGACGTCTTTGACATTGCCATTGTGCGGGCGGACGAAGGCGACGACAGCGAGACCAACAGCATTGACGAGAGCGACGACGAAAGCGAGAATGATAGCGGTGACGTGAGCGAGGTTGAGAGAGAGATTGAGAGCGAGGTTGAGAGTGAGAGTCCCGCCCCAACACTCCCCGAGACGTTCCATCCGCTATGCACGACGCCGGCACTCGTCCAAGACGCTTATCACCAGACGCCAATCAACGAGCTGGCAGACACGGACGAGATCAAGTCGCCCGGCTACTTTTTGCTCGTGTGGCCCAAGGTGTGCCGCGTACGCATTTTAGGCTACGACCGCACGATAGCGCTCTTGCGTGCGCATCTTGACGGTGACGAGACCGACGACCTCGGCTATGGGTCACTCCACGGCATCTTTGAAGCGGCATTTCGTGCCTTCTACCCGCAGCCTCGGAGCAACTACAATGCCTCCAAGCCACCTCAAGTCACGCATGCGATGGCGTCTTTGCTCTACGACCATGGCGACGTGGAGCTCATTGAAGCGTTTATGGACGTTCACGACCAGTGGGCCGACGACGAAAACATGGCGAAGTGGCTTCTCGCGGTGCTCCAGCGCTTTGGGGCGTCTCGTTTCCAGCACCGGATGCACATGGTGAAGGCAGCGAGTGCTTTTGTGGCTCAGTTGGTGTCGCTCGCGACGGCCGGCGACAGACTCGCACAGACGATCGCAAACGACTGCATCCCGCTGTGGTGGCCTCATTTGCTGCGCCACCTCGCCAGGGACAGCTGCTTCACGAAAAAGGAAACACTGGGCTATATGCTCGACGTCGAGACGTACATGCTCGAGAACCCGATCGACGTCACTGCGTCGGAGTGCTTGCGTCGGCACGTCCCCGACACTGCTGTGCGCGCGGTGGCCACGTACGTTGCACCACCGCTCGTGCCGCTTCTGGACATTGTCCGAGTCGACAAGTGCCTCATTGGCAGCCTTCCGGCTGTCGTGTGGCCACGGCGAGACGCGCTGGGCAGCGTGCGCCTCGCAGCGTGCATTGCGCTAGCTGTCGAGCATGTGTCCTCGTCCAAAGAGCGCCCTCGATGCTGCAAAGGCCATGTGCTCTACTTGGCACTGCTGACGGCCGGGACACCAGCCCTTGCCATCGTCGACGCCGACGTGCAAACGTGGCGATACACGGCCCGATTCAATGCTGCATGCGCTGCGGTCGACAAGACGACGCTGAGTACGATGCAAGCGCTCGTCTTGGAAGAGTACATGCGACGTCCATCGTAGAGCAGTGCATAGGTATATATACGCAACGACTTCAAATTCATGTCGCTTGGTTTGACATTGGCGTCCACAACAGTACCGCAAGCGCCTTGCTCTCATCCAACGCGCACTGTACCGTTGCAGGTAGCGATGTGCTCGAGCCAGTTGGATCTACATCATGTCGGGAAGACCGAGTGAGCAAGCCGGCTTGACACCGAGCCAAATGAATAACGCTGAGGAGGCCGCTCAACACGGCCGACGCACGGTCCATGTAGTACATGTCGTCAACTCGCCTCTGCTGGTAGTCAAAGAGGTGCTTGGCGCCACTCGATAGAAACAGCGACGACGATGTTGGGGGCGGGGTCGACCGCTTGAATGGCAGTCACACCGCACCGTAGCAAAAGCCGTTGCAAAGTAGGACGATGACGAGCAGCAGTAGCAGCCGCGCAGACGATCCCAGCGTAACCGCGCCTGCCGAACACACAATTTGATGTTGGCAGAGCTTGCACACTGCGGTGCCACGTGGATCGATGGCTGGACCGGCGCCAAAATCGCAAGGCACGCCGAGATGATCCACACGAGTAGGCTATTGGCGGTCGCGTACGTAAGCGGGCAACAAGCGTGAACGTCGACCGCGTTTGGTACGCGTTTCGTGCCGTGGACACTTGACTTGGATAGCAGCTCGGGTGGGATCCAAGACCTCTATGGTAAGATGTGCGTGGGCCGCCGCCGCCTTTGTTTGGTCTGGATGCCGAACACTTTGCCAGTATGGGGCACGTAGTCACGACGACGCTCGGCCCGTACGTCTCGATCGACTTGTGTGTCGTGCCGCCACCGATCGCACTTGTGAATCATCTCTCGGTGCTTCGACGAGCTATCTACGAAGGTTTGAACGCCTCGTCCAAGACGGTGTACGCGAGTCTTCGCCCGCTCATCGCGACAGCGAGCCCCCGGTTTGGACCAATCAAACGTACTACGGGGGCAGTCCGTTTTGCCGCAGCAGCTTCCCGACGTCCCTTCCCCAATCGCCCTTCACGTCGGCCGATCAATGCGGTACGCAGTTGCTTTTGACTGCCATAGCGCCACCACCCTGGCGTGTCGCTGTGCCGCCGCTCTCCATCGTGACTGCGCTCGTCACCGACGCGGTGCCAAGTTTTGTGTCGCGCAAACATCCGACCGGTGTCTCGCGCTGCTGCAAGCTGCGGCGTCGCTCGCCCCACGCACGATCGACGCGCGCCTCGTCACTGCTGCCCACGAGGCCGTGGCGGCCCTCGACGTGAGCGTCGCGCAGTTTACGTCGACTGACAACAGCTCGGATCGAACGCTCTTGGTCAAAAGCCGCGTCGGTGTCATGACGTGGGTCGGCCGGCCTTTCACAGAACTCCGCGGGTTGACAGCGCTCTATCTTTTGGCCTCGGCGTCGGTCGTGCTCACGGTTGATACCAGCGGGCTTCTCCGGCTTTGCGATCGCGAGCGTTCCCGTGTACACGACGTGCCTCGCTGCCAACGAAGTTACGTGGCTTGTGGGTACAGTCATCGATATGGCGCTTATCTTGACGCAAGAACATACGCCATGAAGCGTCTGTAGCGTCCGCGTTGTGCGCACACCGAGTGCGTTGATCAGCGTCGCTGATCCTAGCGCGCTCGGAGCAAAGCTGTTTTGCCACTGGAGCTGATACGTGGCGAGCCCGTGTGCCGTCAAGAGCGCTGCTTCGGCCGGCACGGTCATGTGCGCGGTTGCGACCGACGTGAGCCAGTTGCGGCCGGCGCTCGAGGCAGCGAGGCGGGTCTGAAGCGCATACCAATCACCTGCCGAGTCGTTCTGACCAAACATGGCTTGAAAGGCTAAAAAGTTGGTGTTGCGCAGCGGCGCCTCGAGGTACATGGCACCGTTCGCGCTGTATGTGGCCTCACAGCGCGCTTGCCGCATCGTCGTCGCCGCAAGAGGCCAAGATTTGTTGAAGTCCACCCAGCAGTACTGCGTGGGCAGCGTCAGCAGCGCATACGTGGACGTGTTGCGAAGGTTGGTAATTGCATGCTCGATCGTTGTGAGGTTGACGGCCACTAAGGCCATTGCAAACGTCGGATGCACCACCCCGTTGGTCAAGTCGTGCCGGCCTTCGGTCAACACATTGTCGAGTGCGACGAAGGCGTTCGTTCGGTGTCGTCTCGAGAACCGCAGTGAGCACATCCAAGAGAAACGTTTGGTACCCGGAAGTGTTGTAGTGGGGCCAGAACGCGTCGTTGGCCAGGGGTGGCGTGAGCAGCCAAATGTAGTAGGCACTGAAGCCAAGCATCGCACTGACCCAGAGCACTCCATGAAGAATGCATCGGTGCTTGGAGGTTTGCGTCGCCAGGTCCATCGGGTATATGTGCATGGAAATCACGGACGAGAGACACGACCTTGGGGTATTTTGCGACCAAACGCGCCAAAGTGGCCTTTTCGAGGAAGAAGGGGGTACGGAAGCCCGCCCAATTTAAATAATGACCCGCCGCTACTACTCGTTCCCAGAGACTGACAAAACATAGAAAATATACAAGCTACCATCGCAATTTTTCGCGCGACGTAAAGAGTTCCTCCACGAGCACACGCCCGCTTGCTTTCGCATCTACGACTAGAGCACGCAATCCAGGGGCGTGGAGGGAATCATTTAGCCAATTAATATTTACATATATGCTAACAACGTCAATGCGCCTCGGACCCTGTGCGCCAAATTGCTGCGACTCCCTTCACTCGTTGGCAGCCCATCCCACTCTAGAGGTTTGGACCGTTGGAACCATGAAACAAATAGGAAAAGCGTCAATT